TTCTCAACTTTATTAGCCTCCTAAGCCATTTTAATAGACTGTCAGAATCTTATAAGAGGAATGAAAAAAATTGGAAAGTCTTTTTGGATAGGCAATCACTTCAGAGGGCTGGATGAAATATATGTGTGTATATTTGTGTGTTTATTACATATGTAACTGTATATATAAATATATATTTATTGCCTTGTTTTCAAATATATTTCAAGTATGTGTATTTGAAAAGAAGGTAATATATACAATTATATATGTAATAAACAAATTTATGTATATTTGAAAACAAAGTAATAAATACATATATTTATATATACAATTATATATGTAATAAACACATATTTATGTATCATATATTTATGTTATTTATATATGCTGTTTATATAATATATATTTTTTCTATTATATTGTATTATATACTAAAAATATATTTATATATTGTATATAAATATATATTTACATATTTTATATGTATATATGTAAATACATAATATATAAATATATTTACATATATTTATATGTATATATGAATATATGTGAATATATACATATAAATATATTCACATATATACATGTAAATATATACATATTTTTTATATGATACATATTTATATATCATTTATATTTCATATATAATGTATACATACACATATACTTTTATATATCACATATTTTATATATCATATATAAAAATGTTTATATATAATATATAAAAATATATCTACATATTTTTATTTCATTGTTTTCAAATATATAATATACAAACATTATATTATGTATATTATATCATATTATAATATATAACCTATATAAATATGACATTTTTATATATATAAAAGCTTTGGAAAGGGCATGGAATTTACCTTATATTGGCGCTCTGTGAGGAACCGGGGAGTGGCTTTCACACTCCTTGGATTTTGTTTCCATAATTCTGTTGGATGCTGTATTAGTTTCCCATTGCAGTTGTAGTGAGTTACCACAGACTCAGTGGCTGAAAGCAAGTCAGGTGGATTATCTTATAATAAGTTTTGGAAATCAGAAGTCTAGAATAGATCTTGCAGTGCAAACACAATGGTGTCTGCAGGGCTGGTTCCTTCTGGAAGCTCCAGGGCAGAATCTGGCCTGCTGCAGCTTCTAGAGAATATCTGCATTCCTGGGCTTGTGACTTCTTCCTCACCTTCAAAGCTGGCAATGGTGTCACTCCTGCCTCTGCTTCCACCATCACATCTCCTTCTCTGCCTCTGACCCTCCTGCCTCCCCCTTTCACTTACAAGGACCTTGTGTAATATTGGGCTCACCTGGGTAATCCAGGGTTCGCTCTCTATCTCAAGATTGTTCCACCTGCAACATTCCTTTGTGCCATGTAAGGTAATATATTCCCAGCTTCTGGGAATCATGGTGTGGACATCTTGGGGAGCCATTATTTTGCCCACCACAGGTGGGAATGGTTATGTCCATTTTACAGATGAGCAAATAAATTCAGAGGTGTTGGGCAATGTTCCCAAGACCACTCAGCTGGTAAGTGGGTGATCAGGATTTGAATTCAGAGTAGCCTCATCCTAAAGCCAAAGCTCTTTCTCCCCAGAACGTTTTTCTATTCCACACTCTCAGCCTCATGCTGAATTTAGTCTCATGCCTTTCCAGGAATTGGGGTCAATGCTACCATTTTAAGGACCGTTTCCAATGGACTGTTCTGCATCTGTCCTTGCATCTCCAGCTTTTTGAGAAGATGAAAGGGGGACAGACTATCCAATGCACTTCACTTTACCTAACTTCTACTGGCCCTTCAGCTCTCAAGTTCCTGGTCCCTGTCTCCAGGAATCCCTCCCAGAACACCTTATTTGAGAGGGAAGCTTGTCTCCGTGTTGCATGTGGTAATTGTTTCTAGGTTTGCTTTTCTCTCTAGATCATGGCAACTTCACCTGTGACAGCTGGTACAGTCTGAGTGCAACTTAGGTGTCTATGGAACGGATGAATGCGTGCCTGCATGAAAGAATCCACCAAGCATCGCTTCCTGCTCGGAGGAATCTCCCACACAGAGGTTCCTGCACCTCTACAACAGCAAAACATCATTTATCCTTGGGTCATAGTCAACCTCCTCCATTGGACTGTGAGCTCCTACAGGCAGGCACCACGGCAAAGGCCCTCTGTAAGCCCAGCACAGGGTCAACAGTCTGACCATGGGAGGAGCTGGCAAGAACTTGCTAAATGGCAGGGTACCAACTGGCCATGGTCCAGATGACTGAGATCCACCAGGTCCACACTTAAAGGCAGCAGCAGGAGCGCTCTCCAGAGGCTGCAACTCTGAGTCCTGATTTTAGAAAGGACTCCTCCTTCCCTTTCAGGACTGTGAAGTCATTTACTCTCCTTTCTGGGGTTCGTATTTACAAGGAATACTTTGCCCAATACTGTCAGCTTTTAAGGAAGATGATCTGCCTGCCAGAGCGTGGGGACAAGAAGGAGTGGTTTCTGGAGTCTGGAATGAATAAGAATGGCTTCCTGTGAAGTCTTCTTGGACCAAGGGAAGAAGTGTAGCCACTTCCTCGTGTGCTCCTCTTTCAAACAAGGGCAATCATTGGACTTTCAGGCATGACGTGAGCATTCATGAGGTCCCATGTAGAACACTTTGGGGTCTCACTGGGAGGCAGTAGGAGCCCCATGATGATCCCTTTCCCCACTCCCTCGGGTTCTGAGCCAGCTGACTGTGTGACCCACAGTAAGTCACTCCTTTGGGTCTTGCTTTCCTCAACTGTCAAAAGATAGCCAGAGTCCCTGTAAAATCCTGCTGTCTACAAGGACGTCCATCGTAGCCTTATTTAAAATCACAAATTATGGAACTCTACCTAAATAGGACAAGAATAGTTACCACTTACAGAATGCATACAATTTGCCAGCCACTGCTGGAATCACTTAATGTACATTCATTGGTACAATCCTCAGCCCATCCCTATGAGGCAGGGATGATGGCCTTTAGAAGTGGGGAAACTGAGTCACAGAGCTGCTGAATAACTTACATGGGGGTCACGCAGCTAATAAAAAGACACAGAGCCGGGACTGGAACCCAGAAAGCATGGCATTGCCATCAGGTTCTGAGCAGAGACATTCAACAACTCCACCCGCAGACAATGGTTAAGGAAATGATCATATAGAAAATTACTGGAGAAGGATAAATCTTTCAACACTAGTGTTAATTCAGGGAAGGTGAGGATCTGCATAATTTTCTGCACCTATGATACACTTCAACAAAAAATACTTAATAAATAAGAAAATGGAGAATCATTCTGACATAAGATTACATGAACAAAAGCAGATTAGAGCACAGGATTACTGTGCTACTATGTAAGAAATGTACATCTATGCACAGAAAGACAAGGGAAGAATTTGCCAAACTTCCTTGGGTAGTATGATTGGAGGTAATTTCTTCTTTGTTCCTCTCTATTTTTCTGAATTTTACAAATTTGCCCTAATGAACTGGTAATGATTTCTTTACAATACCAATAAAATACTTTACAAAAAACAAAACGAAATATCTCCCGTACTTTCCCCATAATTTTCATCTCAGACTGACTGTGTTTTTCCACAGCTCAAAGTAAAAATTAATAAAGAAAACTAGATGCAGTCTATAACTTGAGAATAATGAGAATGAATCTTGTGAAACTTCCAGAACGTGAAACGTTGAAATGTTTTCCTCTAACAAAAAGGCCATGAAGTGGAAAGGGAAAGAGACAAAACATCATTCCTTTACATTTTTTATGATATCTATTTTTAAAAAGCATCTTGTTAGAAGGACCCGTTAAGCGTGAGGTGCAAAATGAAATGTCCTGTCATCAAGAAGTCAGAAAGACAATTGCAAGCCTCTGCCTGTTTGCATGGGCATCAATCTTGTCAGTGTAAATCAGTGAGCAAGAGTGAAAATAAACAAACTACTCCATCAAGGTCAGAGAACACAACTCTCTAATTTTAGCCCTCTCTTTCCATTTGGAAGGGAGCCTAACTGTGTCCTGTGTGCCTAAAATGTGAGGCACAGACATACCTACAAGAAAGAAGAGACACAAACATCTCATAAAGAAGGCAACTGAAGCTCAGAGATGTTGAGTGCACTGCTCAAAGCTACACAGCCAAGAAGTGCCAGAGCCAGGATTCAAATCCAGTTTGATCTGATTCCAAGATGTGGAAATTTCTTCTAGGTTCTGAAGCCACCCAACTTTCCCCTCCACCAAATGTTTGTTTTGCATATCGGAGGTTGAGAAACAGTGACGAGCTCTATGCCTTATTTTGAACATATTGGCTTATTATTAAGGTCTTCCTCTCTATTATACTGGTAGACTGGAACATCCTTTCTCCTTTGCCTTGCAAACTCCCACATGTCTGGGGTAATGAGATGACTGCTAATGGTTTTGAGATATTTTAAATGTCATGGCAAGAGACTGAAGACTCACATCAATTCTCTGATCCGAACTCCTGGGGACAATATGACCCTCTTTCACATATTTTATTCATTCATATTTCATCATTTGTGACTAGGTGAGAACTCAAAGGATGGAGTTATTTATTAAAAGGAAGATGACAGGGAAGCAAAATATAGAAAGGAAATATCCTCTAGATGGGTAAAATGTCAGTGAAGAACTGCATGATGAACTCCTAAAATCCAGCCCCCCTGGGCATGACAAAGGACGTGCTCCTTTAAAGGGATGCCTGTTTGTTGCCTGGGGTTCCCACAGTGTGGTGTTGCCTGTCCCATGAGGTGTCAGGGACTGGGTGAGAATTGTCACTCTTCAGTATTCACTTTGAGGTTTCGGATCAATAGCCTGGACACAAATGATGTCTGGATTCTCCCCATCCCAGCTATTTCTTTAAAACCAAGAGTTTGCTGAGTGATAGAAAACTACATTGTCCTAATTGAGGAATTCTGATGGGGAAACCCCCTGCCTTAAAGGACCTTACGAACATTCCCACTGTGCTGTGTAACCCTCTGTGGCATTCTTAGGAGTAACACTCAGTTGACTTACAGAGAAGACGGCAGCCAAAGTCTCGATGCCGCCTGTACTCAAGGTGACATACGGGATCTTTGCTGGAGGGATCTTTTCCAAAGACGCTGTTGGTATAGAACCAAATCTGTAATGCAGGAAAGAACGAGAAGAGAGAATGGTCAGTGGAAGGACTTAATCTATTTTCTAAATCAAATTTGGGTATAAGGTGGTCTCTGGATTAAACTCAGAGTCCCAAGGTGGAGTGGCGTGGATGCTCATTTTTCACCTTCTTCCCATCTTTTCCCTTTCTTCATTACTAAAAGAACTCCTGGACTACTGGGAGTTCCCAGCTAAAAGACTACACTTCCCAGTTTTCTTGCAGCCAAGTGTGGCAGTGAGATAGAAACAGTATTGTTGGTGGAGCTTCCAGGAAGTTTCCTTTTTTTAAAAGGAACTTTTCATCCAGGAGGTGTGCTTCCATTTTTGTTTTTTATTTTTGTTTGCCCTTCCTTCTTTCTGTGTCAGGATGGTGGAGGTGATGGCTGGAGCCTCAGTAGCCTTTTTTGGATTACTAGGTGACTTCAGAACAGCACGGCCATTAACCTCCATGGTAACTTTATGAGAACCAGAAAAGGCCTCCACTACACAAAATGGTTTACTGTCATCCACTGAAAAATTGCCATAGTAAATCCACAATGCGTACAAGGTGAAAGATGTTCCCCAGAGTTGGGTAATGCACAACTTGTTTAACTATACCTAGAACCCCTGCCTTGGGATGAAAGCTGCTTATTCAGATGCTGGACCAGGAAGTTAGAAAGAGTTAGCCTGTGCCCTCACTGACTATGGTGGTTCTGTAATTTGTTATCCAAACATGAACACTTTTGAGAGTGTTGATAATTATGCTGAGACAACACACATATATTGAGTGCGTCCTGGGAAAACCAGTATGTGCGGTCTTAGAGTTGCTATACCAGCCCTCGCAACTTACTTCATGTGAGACAGAAAACCTTCCATCTTGTTGAGGTCTCTTTTGGGGTTTCTGCCACGTGAGGTTAGGCCTAAATCCTCATTGACTCTCATGGCATCAGACAAGCACTGATTAGGAGTTTGGAGACCTGGCTCCATCTCGAACTAGCTGCGTGACCTCAGGCAACTCGCTCTGCCCTGCGGAGATTCCTACTCCTCCCCAGTCAAACGAACATGACCACGCTTATTTTGCCAGTCCCGTGAGGTGTCAGGAACTGGGTGAGAATGGTCACTCTTCAGTATTCACTTTGAGGTTTTTAACCTGGACGCAAATGATGTCTGGGTTCTCCCCATCGCAGCCATTTCTTTAAAATTGAGTTTGCTGAACGATAGAAAACCCATTGTCCTAACTGATGAATTCCAATGGGGAAACCCCCTGCCTTAAAGGACCGTATGAACATTTAAGAATAGTTTGATCCCTATTCAGCAGAAATGTTAGAGCACATTGTTCATATCCTGTCAGGTCCAACATTAGCTGGCCACACTCTTGAGTTTTGCTTTTTGTTTCTGGATGCTCTTGTTTCTATAGATCTGTCTTATTACCAGATGTTTTTAGCAAAAATTATTCATGCATTGGGGGAAGATTTAGGACCTACTTATATCTACAGATGGTTAAATTTTGTGAAGAAAGTAAACCTCCACAAAGTTATGGGCAAACCGAGAGATGCCAGTGAAAACTATGACACCCATTTCTTCGAGCTTGCAGGCAGGCATATATCTATTGGCAAAAACAGGTTTTAATATTCGTGTAAACAAGAACCTTCCTGTTCTGCACCTGTCTCTCATTTGAGTGAGCGTTAGACTCCAGAAAGCACAGGTTAAACCCATACTCTTCGTCAGTATCACCTTGTTCTAGGCAAAAGTAAACGGGGTGCTTAAAGCCTGAACCGTTGCTGTCACATCCATGGTGTACAGAGGTAGCGTCTAATAAATCCACCAATTCCTACAGTTCTCAGGGCTACAACAGAAGCTAACGTTATCCTGAAAATCCTTTGTCCATTGAATATGTTTATACAATCGAGTCCCCTTTAGAGGGTAACTGTGATCCCCAGTGCACCTTCAGGGTTGGATCCCAGAAGTGTAAGAGCCTTTCTCAGTCATCAGCCAGATTTACTGATTTTCAACGGCCAGCGCTCTCTAGGGGCCCTCTTAATGCCTTCAGGCTGCCACGCTGTCACCCATGTGAAGGTGTCTGACGTTTGTGTTTCATAGCCATGATTCTGATCCCCATGGCCCAACCAGCTCATGTTCCTGAGGCCCCCAGCCCTAGATCCCACTTAATGTGAGTCCTCTTATGTTGCGGCCAGTACCTCCTTGTGGCTCCTCTCACCCCCTGGTTTTCCCCATAGAGACACTGCTATAGATGTCCCTTTGCAGGTTAGTGGAGAGAGTCATTCGCATAAAATTCTGAGTTCAGTAAGGGACAGTTATAAAAACAGCAATAAAAGCCATATTTATTTTTACAACCGTTCATGCATCAAAAGGCAGAAATCAGCCCACAAATCCTCTCCCCAAGCCCAGGGGCTGCAGGGGTCCTGCCGGGCTGGCCCTGTCCCCCCCAGGGCAGGGCTGAACATCACACACACTACCAGTCTTATTCTGTTTGTGCCACGAAGCCACTGCCCTCCCCTTGCATCAGCTGATAGAGTGGGAAGGTGACTGCCTTCAGCTTTACCGCTGCTCACACTGACGCTTATTTGATTGGACAGTTTGAGGTCGCTGTAAAATAAGAAAACACCCAAGAAACTTAAGAGTGCATCCTGCCCCGGAGCCCCCTTTGTATCCAGAAGGATACAAAGTAAGGACTCAAATTTTAAGAGTGGCCAGAAAATGCTTGCTTTTAAAAGCCTTTCGAAGAGTGTTGCATCACCCAGTCTTGCTTCTCATCTTACAGATAAAAATCTAACCTCACACTGACCCAGCCCTTAGCCCAGTGATACCACCTTTCTGGTCTGCTCTCCTTTGAACTCTGACATGAGTGATTGAGGCTCAGAGGGGTGAAGTGTCTCACCCAGGGCTACACAGCTGGGAAGTCAGAGGATGTGTGCTGCAACCATCGCCTCCCTGGCGGTCTCAGGCTGGGGCTCCTTCAACAACATAATAGCTAAGATTACGGAGCACCACCTATGCGGCTGACCCCACGCTGAACTGATTTATTTATTTATCTGTTTGTTTGTTTATTTGATATGGAGTTTCGCTGTTGTTGCCCAGGCTGGAATGCAATGGTGCGATCTCGGCTCACCGTAACCTCCGCCTCCTGGGTTCAAGCAATTCTCCTGCTTCAGCCTCCCGAGTATCTGGGATTACAGGCATGTGCCACCACACCCAACTAATTTTCTATTTTTAGTAGAGATGGGGTTTCTCCATGTTGGTCAGGCTGGTCTCGAACTCCTGACCTCAGGTGATCTGCCTGCCCCAGCCTCCCAAAGTGCTGGGATTACAGGTGTGAGCCACCACACCCAGCCACTGAACTTTAAATGCATCCTTTCATCTATCTTCACCACCACTTTACAGCTGGGGAAACTGAGGCACGGGGCAATCACGACAACTTGTCCAAGGTCCTATACCTCAACAGTTCAGTGTTTCAAGTTGCATGCAGGCAGATGACTCCAAGCCTGGCACTCTTGACCACAGTTTAGGGTGGCCATATGGAGGGTCTCTTCTCAGCTTTCTCCCTATCCATCAGGACACAGCCAATTGCTGCAGTGAGATGGTCTCTGCTATTATGATTACAGAACATTTTAGATTCTTCCAATTTGATCTAGGAAGTGATTTCAGGAGAATCTTTTCAAAACAAAAGTTATTAATAGCTGCTTCTGAAATTGTAATTTAAGATTTTGTACAAAACTTGATTTAGGCTCCAGAACTCCTAATGATGGTTCAACAAATCACATGGACCTTCATGCGGTTCCAGGCCAAAAGAGGGGGAAAGTACCACAGTTTTCTATAAATGCATCTAAGGTTTCATGTCTCCTTCCCCTCGTCCCTCCCAGTCACCTCCCTTCCCTCCCTTCTACTCAACTGTTTATAGAGAAAGGGTAAGAAATCTGGGACTCTCTTAGGCACTAAGGTGACAGCAGACAACACAGGTCCTCGTCTGCCCTAGAAGACCTCTTAGTCTGGCAAGGAAGGGAGGAGTACACAACAGTCTCCCAAGTAAGTGGTTAGAGGAACACACCAGGAACCCTGTAATGCATGGGCATCCCACCAAGTGCAAAAACCCAGGCAACCGTCCACCGCTGGTGAGTACCCAGAACCAATGTCACCAGGCCCATATGGGCTCATTCACGGCGGGCACTCTGATCCTCTTTGCTCTTATTTTACATCAATTTCTAACACACTTGGGTGTCTTGTTTCCCAACCAAGACTGCATATCAGGAAGCAGCAGATTTTGAAACTGCATGACATTGAGAGAGGAGAAAACAATGCTGGAAACAGTCGTGCTGATGACAGCAAGGTTGGGAAGAGATTCATGCAAGCTAAGCAGTTGCCACCTGTGAGATATTTTACATAATTCCACAGATTCCTCACATCAGTTGTGCAAACTGAGTATTATCATCCCCATTTTTCATGATGGGAGACTGGGGCCCAGGGAAGTGACTATGATTGGCTTCTATGTTTAAGAAAGAAGGAACCCCAAGGAAGGAAGGGTCATCCCAAGTAGATAAGAGAACCACGCCATGACCCTGGGCATTCTGGAAGATTCAGGAAGGTTCAAGAAAATGAAGGCTTCCCCACACTGGGCTTGGCAATTGATATTGATCCAATTTTTAGCCCAAGAACTCCCTATCTCCTGCCCTCGCCTCCTTTTCTCTCCTAGACATTCAGGTGTCCACCACGTGGCATGGGCTGCTCTGGTGCTGGAGACACAGGGTTGATAAGATGCAGCCTCCATCTTCAAGGATGGAGACCCACTAATAGCTCTCTCCAGGTGAGGGGAGCACAGTGGAGGGGTAGGAGCTGCTGTGGCCACCCCAGCAATGGGGACAGCAGGGTGGGCCTAAAGCCAGGAGCCTCCTTCACACTGGCAACAGACTGACACTCACACTGAAGCCTGGTTTTCATGCCGAGGACAAACTGCTCGAAAGGAAGGCAGCTGCCTAAAATAAGTCACTTTAAGCGACAGGTCTAATTTTAGAGAAGGGAATTTGAAAGCTTATTGTGTGAGGCAAGGGGAAAAAAACAACAATCCAACACCAAAAAGGAATTTAAAAATAAATAAATAAATGTTGTTTATTCCAACTTTTGAATAATTTCTTTTTTCCTTTTTTTCTTTCTTTTTTTTTTTTTTTGTGATGGAGTCTTGCTCTGTTGCCTAGGCTGGGGTGTAGTGGTGTGATCTTGGCTCACTGCAGCCTCTGCCTCCCAGGTTCTAGTGATTCTCCTGCCTCAGCCTCCAGAGTAGCTGGGTCTACAGGTTCCCGCCACTATGCCTAGCTAATTTTTGTATTTAGTAGGTTTTCACCATGTTGGCCAGGATGGTCTCGAACTCCTGACCTCAAGTGATCCGCCTGCCTCTGCCTCCCAAAGTGCTGGGATTACAGGCATGAGCCACTGCACCCGGTCAACTTTTGAGTGACTTCTAAAGTACGTGAAAACCATTCATCGGTTCCTTAGCATAAATATATTGAGCCATCTGTGATGTTTGCTTGATATAGAGGTTCTCAGCCGGGGGCAATTTGCTCCCACGCGATGTTTGGCAGTGTCTGGAGCCATTTTTGGTTGTCACAGCTGGTGGGGCAGATGGTGCTACTGGTACCTAATGGGAAGAGGCCAGCGAGGCTGCCGAATAGCCTAGGCACACAGCATAGCCCCTATGACAATGAATTTTCCAGCTCAAAATGTACATAGTTATGAGGCTGAGAAATGCAAGTTTGGTACAAAGTGCCTGGGTGGGCTGTACCGGGAGTGCACCCAGCACCAGCAGGTGTGACTTTGTCTGTGCGGGCACCATCCCTGGGACCTTGGGCAAGGCCTGACCCTCCGTGAGCCACAAGTTCTTCGTCTAGAAAATGGGGGCAATACCTGTGGGACTGTTTGGGGCTGGAATAAGATGACAAACACAGAGATGCCTGGCAGTATTTACGGATGTCTCAAGTGACAGGTCGTGTCCCCCAAATAATGTCTGGGAAAGTGAAGAAGACAAAACAAGTCTTCTAAGGCAGCTAAAATTTTGGATCCATGTTAGCTCTCTTGGTCCCGTGAATTTGGATGACAAGGCAGCAGGTGCAGGGGAGAGCTGGACCATAGTACAGCTGTGATGATGGCATTTGCCACAAAATAGCAGGGTTCCCTCTGTGTGTAACACGGAAGAAGACTTGTCCCTGTGGCCGCCTAGGGATGGCCTGGGGACACAGCCTGAGTGACATGCATGGGGGTGCTCGGAGGGGGACCTTGGGGCCAGATAGCTGGGGCTCAAGTCCTTTTTCTACTATTCCTTGCTGTTTGACCTTGGAAAAGTGTCTCAACGTCTCTGTGCCTAACAGTGGGGCCTAACTCACAGGGCCGCCATGGGGACAGCTCCTGGCCAACGCTGAGTGCTACATGTATGTGCACTTGATTAAGCTTGCAACCCAGTGGGTGGAGGCCAAGCGAAGGGGAGCAGCTGGCCTGGGTTTCTCACTGCAGGTTTGTGTCCCACTGAGATGGGAAGCCAGGCCTCTGACTCTTGGTCCAGAGCTCTGCTCTGGGTCAAGTAAAGCACGCTCAGCTGCAAGTATTATTCCCTCCTTAAAGACTGAAGATCTTCAACACGGGAGGGCAGAACGCTCTGAGGTTGGGGCCTGGCTTTGGGAGTAGCTGAGATTTTTTTTTCATCACGTGCTTAGGCAGCACGCCTTGCAGGTACATGACAGCGGAATTTATGAAGTTATACGGCGGATGCAAATAGGAAAATGATGTCCCTGTGGAGAAGTGAATTCTGTTTAGAACTGTCATGGTTCTCAATGTAAATGCCTCATTCACTACAGGTTCCATATTCAGTCTTCAAGACTTCAGGCGTTAGCTTTAAGAAATGATTCATTTCCTCTCTCTACTCTCCGAGAACAAGGAGCGCCTCCTTGAGACTGTCTGGCACCACCTCGGTCTCCTCAACAGGAAGAGACGGCAGGACTCTCCCAGGATCACTCAGTTAATGTAGGTAGAGCCACTGACCCAGGCACCTGCTCAATCTGCTGACTTTAACCAGACCAAGGAAAAAGGTAAAAGCAAAAAGCAAGGTGATCTCATTTCATCCTAGTGTTTCCGAAAATAGAACCAACAATTGTGGAAAGGAGGTGGAACACTGTGGTTGCAGCTTTCTGTGCTGCTGTTTTTCCTTCTCTGGACAGGAATGACTCCCCTTCACTTCATCTTCCCTAGACACCCACAAACGCCCTCCCTGCCCACTTTTGGGGGTGCTGGGCTCACGCTTATTTAGTATAAATACAAGCTGTCTTACTTGGGGCTCTTTGGAAGGGTGCTGGCGACTGCCTCTTCTCCCTCCCTCTGGGTTCAGCCAGTCTCCTCTCAAGTGACATGAGTGACCTCAGAGGCAGTTTGGATGCTTTATGCAAGAATCTCCTCTACACTCCCCTGCCAAGTGGTTGGCCAGCCTGTTTGCACACCTCCATAGATGGGGAGCTCACCACCCCTAGAGGCAACCCACTCCATTTGTCCAAAGCAACAATAACAATAAAGATCCATACTCTGCCTCCCGAAGTCTCCAACCAGGAATTCCACCTTCGAGTGCCCTCAGGGAAGAGGAGACTGCTGCGAACGTCCAAGCGTCTGGGGAACCTCATGGAGAGACCTCTTCAGACTTCCCTGCCCGTGGCAGCTCAAGCCCCAGAGCATTTCTTACTTAAAGCCTTGAGGTTATTTTCAAGCCAAAGTTGTGAGTTGAAGACAACCCAGCCAAGAGTACTTTTATTAAAATCATCTCAGTGTCTCCCACTTCCAACTTCCTAACTTTTAGACATGTCTAGGGATAATTAGTGCTAGCATTTATTATGGGATATCTCTGTGGCCAGCGGCTGACCTGAACACTTTGCATGGATTGTGTCTTTCCATATTATGCGATCCCATTTTACAGATGAGGAAACTGAGGAGGATCAGTCAAATTACATGGTTGCCTAACAGCATAGAGTTTGTGATGATGACAGAGCTGAGACTTGAACCTGGGCATCCGGGGCCCAAGCCCTGAACCTCCCCGCCCTCTGATCCCTCCAGTCATGCGAGGATGCCCACCGGGCCACCAGGACTCACCGTGTTGAGGCCACAGAGCTGGTAGCAGGCCATGGTGACAATCACGGTGACCACCTGCCAGCGGACGTAGCGAGCTCTCAGCAGCTCCAGCACAGACACCAGACAGATGTTCGCGGCTCTCAGCCAGGACCTCCTCTACCTCTCGGGAAACATCTGCCTTACCCAAGAACGTCTGGAAGGCTGCAAACAGAGGCACACGTGGACTTTCAGCAGGGATTAGTGTGTCCATCGTGTCTAATGCTGGGCCCTACAGGGATGGGTACCACCTCCCAGCCACATACCTTAGCTGGGGGCGGAACTTGGCAAGGGCCTTTGAAACTATGGAGTCCAAAGCCCTTGTTTAAAAATGGGAAAACAGAGGTGCAGCGAGATGCCATGATTTGCCCAACCACCCAGCTGGCTGGGACAAAAGTTGAGAATGGGGTGTCTTGACTGTCTCCAACGCAAGGCAGAGCACACCCAGAGTTCAAATCCATCTATAGCATTGGGCAGGTGTGCCCCTGTTCATCTTTTGTTATCATTCCTGCCTCCAATGGCTATTGTAATAATTGCATGATATCATATACATTCAACCATGGCTTGGAGCTTCCCTCACTGAAGCTCGTTTGCTGAATATTCACTAAGCGCCTCCTGTTTGCCTGGCTCATGAGTTCGCCCTCATCACAGGTGTCCTGAGAGCGGTAGGATGTCACCTGGCCAGGATGCCCTGCAGTCCACACTATCGTGGAAAGAAGGATTGAGCTTAATGACTGCAAGGCCCTTTCCATGTGACCCTCTGAAATACAAGAAAGCTTGAGTGGAAATAGTCCCAAAGAGTGAATCTTCCCAAGACTCAAACCCACCCTCGTGATTTATGCCTTTTCCACGTTGAACACTGCAAACTTCCAGCCTCAGAGAATCTTTTTTTTTTTTTTTTTAATGAAGACCTTAATTGTTCAAACCTCTGTGAATGTATGCTTGAAGGTGGGCTGACTGATTAGACCCCTGAAAGCACAATAATCAGATCATGGGGCGCTTTTGGACACAGATGCCCATACTCAGTGCTCTGATCTTTCTTCCTCAGCAGGGAAAGGTGGCTATTGTGATGGCTCCTGAGGACAGTCCATTCCAGACACAGCAGGGAGCATTCCTAAAACAGACTCTGCCCCTCAGGGCGTGTGAAAATGCTCTTCTTAAGCAAATGCCATTAAACTTGCTCCAGATTCTCCAGGAAGCAAGTACCCTTCCAAAGGCTTTGGAGTGTTATTTCCAGCAGGGTACTAAAAACTGCTTCAGAATGTCTTTTTTTATGAACTATAATTTAATGCTTTCCCCAGCATTTATTAAGGGTAAATGAGAAAAGCAGCTGAATGAGCAACATTTCTGTTTCATGCATTAAGTATAAAATTTCTACTATTTCCTCAAAGTTCAAAATGCAACATCCATGTGATAAAATAACTCTAGACTTTTGGGGGTAGAAAACCATTTCTTTCCTTCATGACATGCATATTTTCTATTATAAAATAAGGATAACTTCATAACCTATTTTTTTTCTCTTTTCACCATGGCCGCCAGGAAGCTCTCAGACAAATTCAGTGTTTGGCCCTTAACAGAATTTCCTGAACCAAAAAAAATCTCTCTTCTTTCTCTTAAAATTTCCTATCTTCCAGCTCCATCCAAGTCCCTGCAAAGGACATGATGTCATTCCTTTTTATGGATTCATAGTATTCCATGGTGTATATGTACCACATTTTCTTTATCCAGTCTATCATTGATGGGTATTTGGGTTGATTCCATGTCTTTGTTACTGTGAACAGTGTTCAGCAAACTAACTCAGGAACAGAAAACCGAACACCACGTGTTCTCACTTATAAGTGGCAGCTGATTAATGAGATCACATGGTCACAGGGAGGGGAACAACACACACTGGAGCCTGTTGGGGGGCCGAGTAGGGGGAGGGAGAGCATTAGAAAAAATAGGCGATGGGTTGATGGGTGCAGCAAACCACCATGGCGCACGTTTACCTATGTAAAAAACCTGCCCATCCTGCACATGTATCCTGGAACTTAAAAATTAAAATTAAAAAAGTTCTGATCTTGTCTTAAAGCTTCAATTCAACCCTCCTATTGTATATATGTTCATAAAGTGGGTGACACTGTTTCAGAGTGACCCCCAGCCTATGAAGGAGCAAGGAGGCTGTCCAAGGGCCCAGCCATTTCTGCCCAGTGGGGGACCTCCTGCAATGCACAAGTTTCTCCAGAGCTCTCCCCTGGACTTGCCGAGACTTTGCCAGGGGCACTGTGGCCTGATAGCTCCTCTTGCCCAATTCTTCTCCCATCCTTGTCACTTCCCAGGTGTTACTCTCCATTGAAACTTCTGCACTCCTAACTTGTTCTCAGACCTGCTTCCAGGAGAACCCAAACATGCACCAAGGACTTACCTGCCGGGGCCTCCCACACCCTTCAGCCCCTGCCTTTTGAGTGCCCTGCAGGACCCTGGCCCAAGCGGGCCAGCCTTCTATTTCCCTAACTGCCAAGTAAGCCCGCCCCCCACCCCTCCATGACTCTCTCACTATTTTCAATCACTCCTAACAACGGCCTGTCGGGATTTGGGCTTGGGGTCCTCACTATTCCACATGTACCCTTTCTGGCTGAGGGCTCACAGATATTCTTTTGAAAATAGCAAACACAGAAGACTGAGCTGGAGTCCTGAGGGGGCTCCAAGGAGGGGGCGTTTCAGGCTGCCAGAGAAGGCAGGGCCACTCCGGGCAGGAAGCAGAAGGATGGAAAGTCGTCTTCTATTCCTGACACCAGTGTAAAGCAAGATACATTCTGTAAGGTACATGGATGTGCTTTGGTCAAGGAATAGGCCGAGGCAAACATCCGGGCCAGAATGACTCAGTGAGTTTAGGTGTGCAGGTGCATACTCCACTTGTTATATAACCTGTTTCTGTCAGTTCATACTTGGTTTGGAGCCACTATCCTTTGGGAAGGTATAACTGCCCTGCTGACACTGTACAGTGGCTCTTGGGCATGGCTCCACATGACTCTTGTGCAGCTGCTGGCGCCCAGAGAAACACAGAGATAACCAGAGCCGTCCATCTTGCAGATGGACAGAGGGGAGCCAGGGCAGGGTTCAGCATGGCACGGCATGGCACAGTTCACGCTCGTGCCCAGAGAGAGAAAGAGTTAAGCTGCTGACCCTGAAAGCAAGAGAGAGCTGGCCGTGCGGCTGAGCGTGGGATGGCCGGCTCAAGCAGCCTAGACAGAATGGACGGTGTACGAGAGCTGCTGATGAGAGAGCTGCTGAGTCAAACCATATTCACCTGCTTACAGCCCCCAAGTGTTTTTTCAGCCACCCGTCCATCCACCCACCCTCCTCGGGCCTCAGCTGGGGCTGGAACCTGACACATTCATCTGCACCTCTGGCTCTTGCCTCAATCTGGAATGTTCTTTTGACCTTTCTGCACCTGGCTACTCGCTTCGTTCTTTGAATCTTATCTCACACACCTCCAGGAAGCTTTCTCTGATGCTTTCCTGGCTGGACGATAAGGGAGGAGCAAGCCAAGGAGGGCCTTGAGTGTTTGCACGGGGATGAAGTTCCTGCCCACAGGTCACAGGGCGTGGCAAGACCAATAGTTCTGAGCGCCCCGAAGGTGCCAGGCATGGGGCTTGGGAGCTGGGCATATGGTGATTAAAACAAAAACAAAAACAAACCAACCCAGATTGTCCCATCCTCTGGTCCAGCCTCATTATCTTATGACCAACAAGGAACAAAGAGAGAACCTGGTGCTTTAATTTGCGACATGTATTCCTTGTGTCCCTGTAGCAGGTGCTGCATGCCACCCAAGTCTCCCCTGCACATGGACAGCTTCCTATGCCCAGCACCTGTGCCTGTCTGTCTGCAGCTGTCCCTGGGCACAGGTGTGTGCTCAGCCCTCAGCAGTTAACACCCCCAGGAGCAGGCCTCAGTTAATGACAAAGCTGATGTTAACAGAGGTATACCTAGCTTCCTCGCAGACACCTGAGTGAGTTCTACGCTGTGCCCCAGAGGTAACTGGGGGGGTGGGGTCCCAGTTGCCCACAGCTGACACCTGCTCATTGATGAACCTCAATGCCTCCTCTGCTTCCCTGTCCCACTTCCTAGCTGGGGAAGTGACGCTTCCTCAATTGCACCCTCTGCTTTTCTGTCTCATTTCCCAGCTGGGCAAGTGGTGCTTCCTTGAGTCACCTCTCAAATAAACTTCCCATCCTCAGAACCTTGACTCAGGCTTTGGGGGCACCTGACAACAATCACAAAGTCACCTAAACTAGATGCCTGTGGTCACATAACCCAGACACTGCCTTCCGTGTCTGATTTGTCTGATCTAGTGACTAAGCCCCTTCAGCATCTAGAGTCCACCTGCTCCTCTCTGCCTGAGCCCAGGCCTGCCTTACTTTAGGTCTCAGGCTCTCCCTGCTGGACTCATTCAAGACGACCGGGCCGCTCTTCTGCACACAAACCTGTGCTGTCTTACTCCTGCCAGCAGGATCCAGTCCAAATTCTCATCTTCCATGCAGAGCCTCCTCCCACAGCCCCTGTGGCATCTGGAGGCTCCCCTCATCTCTCTTGGCTGCTGCCCTGGAAAAGGCACTCATCCTCCATCCCACATACCCCCATGGCCTTGCCTCTGTGCCCTGCTCGTGCTGTTCCTTGTGCCCAGAACACCCTGCCACTGTTGCCTGCCTAGGACATCCTTTTCCGAGGATCCTCTCAGCAGTCACATCTTCTGGAGACCTTCCCTGTCCCCATGATGGCTAATCACTGTCACCCTCTCATCTGGGTCGCCCTTGCACCTGTGTCTGTCTCTCTTGGGCACTTTCACTCTTGTGTGGAGTGTTCTGTCTGCACACCTGCTGTGCCCACCCCTGGGAGCGCCCCCTGAACAGGGCCATTTAAGGGATGCTGTGATACCATGGAAAGGGGTGGGCCTTGGAGTCGGAGCAACCTGGGCTTCACACCCAGCCCTGTCTCTGCTAGGAGACCCCGGACTAGTCACCTATTCTCTCTGCCCCATGCTTGTTCTTCCATGAAACAGAAATCAAAAAAACCTACCTATGAGGTTGTTTTGGGGAATAAAATCAATGTGTATTAAGTGTTGGCATGCAACTGGTGTTCACTAAACAATTATTATTATTTTATTTCTTCTCTGTGGAGTCTGA